ATGATGTCAATAGTCAATGCACAGCTTGTAATCAGTGTCTGTATTTAGGCCGAAAAGCTGGTAACCATACTTGCTATTACTTGATCAACAGTAGGCCTATAGCCTAAATATATATTTAATATAAACCATAGTAAAATGTATGTATGTCATTGATGCACGCTGCCCATAAGCATTGTACATCAACATTAAACTTAATCTTTTTATTTAAAGAACATAAGACTGAAGAAGTTACAAGCCAGGCCGTGTTTACAGCCCTGCTGTTGGTCTGCGTGCAGATGTGACTTTGTTGCCCCCTACGGAAACACTCATGATGAATTATAGGTATAGGCTAAAAAGTAACCTCTGTTCAAACTAATGCGGCACACGGAACTGACTTAATGCAGCACATAATGTGACTTAAAGTATTAGAACAAATAGAAGTGATTACCATTATCAACAGGGACTAACGTTATAGTTTCCAGATAGGCACACAATCTTTAAATGGATCTATCTTTGTGACAGAAAGACTCACATGTTTAAGCACTAATAATAAAGATAGAAAGACGAGACATGTAGGCCAACCCTACTGATAATGTTACATTTATACAGCTCTACCTATAGTCAAATTCATATTGCAAAATATACAACATTCTTTAAGCTAATTCAGCAATGTAGTAACATGCCAGCATTTGTTATTTTGACAAACAAGGAAAAGTTCCGTTTCCTTACCATTATATGTTTAGTCTCTCTCTCTCTCTCTCTCTCTCTCTCTCTCTCTCTCTCTCTCTCTCTCTCTCTCTCTCTCTCTCTCTCTCTCTCTCTCTCTCTCTCTCTCTCTCTCTCTTTCCTTTGCAGCAGTCCACTTTCTGGTGTAATTACTATATTATTACATATATTTTTCGGTTGTAACAAACGACTCCAAGCCAGTATCCCCCTGTTGACTCGACATAGCATGCCGTACACACTACACGAATATCACAGTTTAACTGTGAGATAGTAGCCTACCCGTCGGGATTATAATAGTAACTTCAGTCAACCAATCAAATTCCAAAACAGGTTCCCATTTTCTACGTCTGACCAATTGCATTTTAGCTGTGGGCGGGTCTTTGATGGCAGTCCAGCACTGATAACAGGGTCGATGGGAACCCTTTAAAAAAAAAAAATTAACCTCTTTTCAGGTAGTGCCACAGTTGCATCATGATCAATATATATATATATATATATATATATATATATATATATATATATATATATATATATATATATATATATATACAATAATCTAATTACAACCACAAACGCTTGTGGCAGATTCTGTTCTCATTAAAAATGAACTATAATGTAGCCTACCTTTTCTTTATTTATTAGTAGGCTATAATAAATAGACCTATATGGACATTTTTTAGCTTTAACAGTAGGCTTATTCAGTCACTGCACAATTCTGATCTGCTCAGTGATTCGAATCTTTTGAATCAATTCACTAACAAGATTCAAGCATGGTAAAGCATAAGCCTTTTGAGTATGTGAGTTGCTGGGCATTGCAGCAAAATGGCTGCCCACTGCTCCGGGTGTGTGTATCCATGGTTTGCAGTGTGTGTGTGTGTGTGTGTGTGTGTGTGTGTGTGTGTGTTCACTACTCACTGCTCCTAATGTGTGTGCACTTACTTGCAGAGGACAAATGCTGAGTATGGGTTACCACACTTGGCCTTCACGTCATGTCACTTTCACTGAATCACGATTTAAGCGATTCTCTAGAAACAAGTCACAAACAAGTTGTTTTGTTCTTTATTAAAATATGCAAACCCATTAGATTACAGAACCAGTAAATCTACTAATATACTCCACAAAAAGTGTTCATAACCATTTCCCCACAAACGTCATGGCAGAACTATTATTTTTTTCATCAATGTCAACTTATCAACCTGTATGACTTTAAAGAGGACTTATTATGGCCATTTACAAATTCTTTATTTTGTTTTTGGGGTCTACTAAGTTTTCATGCTTAATGTTCAAAACCCCCTTTTTTCTACATATTTCAAATGATTGCAGCACCTCTCTTCCCAGTCTGTCAGTAACGCTCTGTTTAGTTCCGGTGACTATATGCTAAAGTCCGTGTGGAAAAGTTCTTTGTTCACTATGGATTGCTTGGGCCTTTTCCACAATGGAGTCAATGTGATTGTCACATTCAGGTCCTGAGAGATAGTGGTGCCCAGGAACCTGAATGACTCCAATGCTTCCACAGCAGTTCCTTCTGAAGTCCACTATCATCTTGACTCTTTTGAGCGTGTTCAACTCCAGGTTGTTATGACTGCACCAGACAGACAGTTGTTTGACCTCTTTTCTTTATGGAAATTTGTCAGTGATGTCTTTCAGCAAGGCCTACGCCAGTCTCTCAAATGACTTCATAACCACAAATGTGAGAGCGACAGGTCTGTAGTCATTATGTCCAGTGATTTTTTTTTTTTTTTTTTTGGGGGGGACCAGAATGATAGTGTGGAGGGTTTGAAGTAGCAGGGAACTTCACTCTGCTCCAGTGATCTGTTGAAGATCTTGAAATTGGGGTTTGTCAGTTAGTCAGCGCAGACTTTTAAACAGGCAGGTGAAACATTGTCTAGGCCTGAAGTTTTCCTGGTCTTCTTTTTATGAAAACCCGGCTCACGTACTTCACTGCAGGTTAAATAGCAGTAGGGGGGTTGCAGGAGGTGTTGGTATATGTGTGAAGTGCAGATCAGAGCTGGTGTGGGGTGTGAGACTGGGCTTTTCAAACCTACAGTAAAACAAATTCAGATCCTCAGCCAGTTGTTGATTCTCCAGATCGTGGGGCATTGTCATGTACTTGGGAATGTTCTTCAGACCTGTCCAGACTAATGGTGGGTCATTGGCTAAGAACTGTTTTTTTCAGCTTTTCAGAGTATCTTCTTTTAGTCTCCTTTGTTAGTCTGTTTCTGGCCTGGTAATACAAGATTTTATCCCCACTTCTGTAAGCATCTTATTTGGCCTGATGAAGCTGTTTGAGATTCCCAGTAAACCATGGTTTATCATTATTGAAAGATAAGAATGTTTTGATAGGAATGTATGTATCCCCACAGAAACTGTTATGATGTTACGGTATTTGTGAGCTCATCCAGATCGGTGGCTGCAGCTTCAAAAACACTCTAATCAGTGCAAACAAAGTAGGCTTGTAAATCCCGCTTTGCTTTATTAGCCTTATTACAGGTTTAGCTGATCTCAGTTTCTGCTTGTAGGTTGGTATAAGATCAACTAGACAACTGATCTGTGAGCCCCAAAGCCGCATATGGGACAGAGTGATATACATTTTTTATTGTGGTGTGGTCCAGTATATTACTGTCTCATGGGACATGTAACATGCTGTCTGAATTTTGGCAGTTCATGGGAGAGATTTGCTTTATTAAAAAATCCCCAAGAATGATTAAAAGAGAGTCACCTTTGATCCATTCTGTTTCAGCAGGCCCAACCAATGAAATGCTCCTTCACAGCCTGTACTCGAACATTGGTTTCCTCTTAATGTCCATCTTTTTTCAAAAACAGGGAACCAAAATATCTACTACTCTTAGTATTTCTGCCATAGAAAGATATGGTAAAAGTAGTAGCCTAAGAGTATAGTATGCGGTTCCCAATTCAGCATCAGTCAATGCATTGGAATCAAATGGAAGATTTGTTCACATAGCCTAAATGATTAATTCATGAAGTAAATACCATTTAGAGGTACTTTTTAAGAAGAGATTATCAGGAAAAATACAGCTTTTATGCCTGCATTAGTTCATACTGAGCGATTACAGTCTTAGCTATTCTTGGTTAACTAATTTTATGCAAAACCTTTAGGAAATGACCTCATCTTTCACGTGTAAACATGATGTCAATCTTTAAGTAGCCTATTTATCGCAAAAAAATGCTGTTAAAGTTATTAGGAGGTTTATGTGGATTATTGTGAGTCTTTAGACTTTTCACAGCTGGAAATCACATGGAAACACAGTAGGCTACTGTAGGGTCAATGGCCAGGCCAGCCGATTACCAGTCGTTAGACTTTCAATGAGCGAGATAGTTCTCTGACGGGCAATCAAGCGCATTGTTGCGTTCATAGTGACATCTTGTGGTTAGTCTGATCAGAATGTCAACGAAGTTTAGAAAGTCAGGGTAGAAAGTTTAGAGGTAGGTAGGTAATGTAAGGTAAACGCAAGCCTTATGGCGCTTTTCCACTGACACATCATTAGCACATCATTTTTTATTTGAAGAAGTCTCTTGAGACCTTGTTGTTTGTAAGCTTAATTAAACAGACTTGCGACTTTTTTGCCTAAGAGAAACACTTGAATTCTAGGTAATGACTCTGAGTGCACATTATGTTGCACATTTGTTGTTATATGTATGCTATTTTTTAGGCCATTCCCTGTAAGGTTTAAGCTCAGTATAATTTTGTGATTTTTTTATTTTATTTTCTAAATTGCTGCATAAAACTGAATTGCCCAAAACCTCTGTACGTTTTTGTTGTTTGATACATCACTTGACCTTTATATATATATATATATATATATATATATATATATATATATATATATATATTGGTTATATATATATATATATATATATATATATATGTATTTGTATATATATATATATATATATATATATAGTCAATTACATCCCTTCTATACATCCTTATCACTTTTATTATATCTTTATATTTCATTGCAATCTATTCATTACTTTTGCACTGCTTAATTCTTAAGTGAATCTGCAATCTGGCATGTCTGCTGCTTTGACAATATTGTTGTTTAAAGCAAATAAAGAAATGCAGGAATGAAGGAGGAGAAAATTAAAACTGCAAATCGAATCCTATGTTCTTCTTCAACTCAAACGGCTCCTATCAACAGGAGGAGCCCGCGCTTCAGATAGCGCTATTATTAATAGTGGACTCTACTAACCGGGGGCTCTCTCTCTCTGTCTCTCTGTCTCTCTCTCTCTCTCAATCTCTCTCTCTCTCTCTCTTTCGGGCTGGCGCGTTGTGTGTAGCGTTATAAAAGCCCGACCAGAGAACTGTGAACGTGAGTCCTGTGTTGCTGAAACCGTAGAGGTGCACGGATACATACAGCACACGAGCACAGGGGTGAGTATAAGATCACTTTTAGCGGTGGTTATCTGCTGAATGACTCTGTTCATACACCGCCTCATGTGACTGGAGTTCTAATGAAAACGCGCGGGGAAGAGTTGGGGAGATGTGCTGTTATTCAGTCAAACCATTCCTACAAGTTGCTCAGGTTGCGTTGTGAATGATCTCAGTTTGTATAACGGTGAGTCGCTCTTCCAACTTTACTGCAATTAAACAATTCGCGATTCACAATGACTCGCTCCAGCGATGTGGGAAATGTTGATGGTTTTCCTGTTCTGTCAAGCGGTAATCTCGTGTTGGCATCCAATTGCTACATTGTATGATCTCAAAAGATGAAAGGATGTAATTGAAAAGAGAAACGCTTTTCTGTGCATCACTGCACACGAGACACTGGTACATTAAAGAGTGGCAGGGATCCAGGGAAAACGATTATAACTGTAAAGACATGAATTTAATGCTGACAAAGCAAGAAAAAATATAGGTTAATGACAAATAAATGTCAGACATGAAATATGTAAAACAGAAGAAATGTACTCATTCATGTTGGTTGCGTACATCAATCAAGTAGTCTACTAAAATACCTTTCTTGCACAAATACTTTCATTTAAAGGCAAAAACATTTGCTACAAATTTCATGTCAGGCATATGAAGACGTTTTTGGGCTTTCTTAATCTGACATGTGAACGTGCATTTAAAAAAAAAGCTGAAAATATGTGAGATTTAAAAAAAACAAACTTTAATGACCTTGACACCTTCCTGAAGGTCTGAAGGGGTCCTGTTTTATGGTGTCCTTGTCACATGAGAGTATAATGGCTTCCTGCATGTTGGTTAAATCACATTGACTTTGATTTGGTGGTCAGAAGTTTTTTCTTATATTTTAATGCTATTTTATAACACTTAATCACTTTTAAAGAATCAATATTAAAAGATTATGCAAAAAAAAGTTGGCCTATTAAAAATATGTTAATCAAAGAGGTGTTGCCTTGCCTTGCCTTGCCTTGCCTTGCCTTGTTAGAGGTTACATAGGGAGTGATGCATATGCCTTTGAATATTACTCTTAATTTTTCACGTACACCAGGTATATTACACTATGTATATTGGATTGGAAATGGTTCATTAATGTATTCATGTATGTCATTTTAGCACAAATTCACTTTTCTGTACAGTTTTACCCTACTAAACTATTGTATTTTTTTCCCTGGCTGATCTGAACGAATGGAATTTCTATTTTAATTTGGAAACAATCCCAACTGGATAAAACAAAAACAAAAGGCATCATGTTTGATGTAAACCCTGAAAAATAGGAATTTTAGTTCAAGTAGGATCTTATTTGGATTTTTCAAGGATTCCAACGGATCTCATTATGATTGGTTCCAAATTATGATAAAAAATTCCATTGGCATTCCTTTAGAAAGTATGGATGAGGGATCAAAATGTTGAGACAGGTTTATGACATTCTGTCAGACTATGAATTCCAGGCTTGTGCCTCACTTTTGTCTTTCTCTGCTTTCTCAGATTTGTGATTGTTGGCTAGTAGAAAAGGTTACCTTGTCTATATCAGAGCATAACAGAATTAGAAGAAAAATAGAAACAGCATAAAGAGAAAACAATGCGATGCAGGGACAGGAATAAAAGGTTTTGTTTTACAACTTCCTAAGTGCTTCCCAGACATAATATGAGTTTGTGAGCTTTTTATTGATCATGTGCCCAACTGATTTGTATGCACTGATACTAATGTAGTTGTAGATGTAACAATAGCACGATTAGAAGTGCAGCCTCGGTTTATATGAACTTAAGAACATTTCAAATTTCTGCTCTTCCTTAAAAGGTTTTGTTGTTCAGAGAGACTCATCAGCATAATTAGATTAATTTTGTTTTGTTTTGTCGTGTTTACCAAGATGTACAGCCTAATACAATTCTTATGTCTTTGTCAGTATTTGATGTTCTGTGATCGAATGGCCTCTAGGATGTTAAGAGTTAAATGTAAATCATGTTACGTGTGATCTAATGTTCCTGTTTATTAGAGCGATTGAGTTGCAGTTATGCCTTCAGGGGTTTACTGGCATTAACAAAACATGACAGGTTCTGACAAAGCATCATAACTGATTTGTTGTGGGAAAATAGGATGCCACTATGAAATTGCATGTCTTACAGAAAGCATTGATTTTGATAGGTCTGAATATATTATTCACTGATGTTCCTTTCAAAATAATGTAAAGTCTCTTTTTGTAAGATGAAGGCGAAGGGAGATTGTCTCCATCAGTAATAACACTAATCTAATCCTCCTGAGCACATACTTGCAGCTCTAATTCGCGGTTGTTGTTTGGGCCAGTGTGCCGGAAGGATAGGTGGTTTTCTGTTTCTGTTTTGGATGTGATTTCCTCTTCCAGGAGAAGGACATCTCTACATTCAGATGCCATGAATCGAGAAGGAGTTTCTGTTTTGTTGACAACTTTGTTCTCCGGTTTGCTGTTCCTTTGTGTTTTGGCACTGCTGTGTTTCTTCACCTGCAGACTAGCTTCAAGAGTACTGCCAGCTGGAGCCCCACTGGGTTTTTGACCGAGCTTGTGAATGAGCCTCAAGTCATGGTAAAAATCTTGAACTAGTGGGGGGTGCTTGCTTAGAAGTTTACTGGTTCAAGACGACCTGCAATGGTGTGTTGATTATAACAGGAAACAAATGTTATAAATGACTTGCATTAGTGGTTGGTTGTTGGCCTCCTCTTGATTTTTAGGGTAGTGAATTGTTTTATAATAAAATACCAAAGGGTTTGGACCAATATTGGTCCCTTACACCTTAACCCATCCTTAAACGTAACCATACCTTGAAACCTTGGGTTGCAACGGATCGCACTTGATCCGTGATCCCGACGGAACAGGCCCCCGCAGTTCGGCACGCATGTGATTCGCGGGTTAAAAGTTTAACCATCTTAGAGTGAAAGTTTATCATTTGCATGTTTTTTTCCATGATAATTTACACATTTAAGTGATTTTAAACCATTCAAGCTCAAGAAGAGGCGAAAGAAAACTTGATCGCGGGTTGTTATCTGTGCTTACAGCCGCGCACACCCGAAGCGCGCATAAACTGAGGCTCATCACCGAATTTATTCCTCTTTTGTGTCTCCTTGTGCTTGAACAGACACATACACAAAAAGTTATGTCAAAAAACCCATCTCTGCAGGTATTCTCGTAAACAGTAATTTTTAGGTCATAAGTGAACTTAAACAGTTGAGAAAGAAATCAAATGTGTATCATTATATTGGATTCATTCATTAGGGCTTAAAGTGACAGCAGCCTATTAATATCTGCTGCTAAGTCATTATTGTTAATCAAACAACAAAACACATCTTTCACAAAGATTCATCTATATTTAATTTATACAATTTATACAACATTATTACTGAATATTTACTTGTCTTTGATAATGTTTAATTATTAAAAACAAGATTTTTGCTGTAGTATCGATGTACTTAAAGTGGGCTTTACGTAATAAATGAAAAGTAAAGTTACATTATCCCCGTTCCCTCAATTTATTTTGCTGATCCAAAAAATTATCCGATCCCCGACTCAAAAACAGTAATATCCGAAGTTCCAAACCGTAAGTTTATTGATCCTTTGCACCACTATTGAAGTCTGTCACTAAATTGTTTTGCAATACAACTTAAACACAATAAGTAGCCTTGTATACTGTGGAAATATAATTTTAAAAGACAGTGTAATAACAATAATTCCCTTTCAAGGGAACTTCGAGCTGCGTCAAACGCTGCGGGAACGCCCCTGCGTTGTGCGTCATGAAGCACGTATGGAATCAGCCCAATGGAGAGATGAAACGTCATAGGCGGGTGACGTCATCGACCAGGAAACTATAAAGCACCCCAAAAACACAAGCGCATTAGCTTCTGTGCTTTCAGTCGCGCTACATGTGAATCTGTCCCTGTGTGATATTGTCTGTCTTACATACCCTGCACCACACAAACAATTTATCCCTATATATATATATTGAGAGATTATGGCGGACGAACAGCAGTTTAGAAAGTGTGTTCCTCCCTGCTCGCGTTATTTAACGAGCGGGGATACACATGATCTTTGTGTTGTTTGTTTGGGAGTTCAGCATGCCCAGTTTGCTCTCGAGGGAGCAGACTGTGAGCATTGCGAGCGTTTGCCGTTAAGGACGCTCCGCTCCCGCCGATCGCTCTTTGAGGAGAGCGGTTCGGTGCGCGCTCCCCGCGGTTCGGGTCCCGCTTCTGCCGAGGCAGAGCGGCGGCGCTTATCGTGGGGATCGCAGATGGATCTCACAGCGGGGTTTGAGACGGGCTCTGCCTTATCTCTCCCTTCACCTGTGAGATCCAGTGCCTCAGTCCCGGGTTCGGAAGCACGCGCTGCGGTTTCTTCCGCTCGGGCTGAGGCACCAATGCTGCAGCTATCCAGTTCTGAGGAACTTGATGTTGTTAGTGTTGAGGGAGATGTGGAGGATTCGCCACCCCACACTCCTCAGAGTGATGAGCTTATGGAGGTGTTAACAAGAGCTGTTGAAAAACTTAATATTGAATGGCCAGTGACTAGACAGGAGTCTGTTTCTAAATCAAAGTTGGATGAGAGATTTTTGCCGTCACGTGTGCAGCCTCCACGCCGGTGCCTGCCGTTTTTCCATGATCTCCACACCGAGGTGTCGAAATCATGGAGAAAACCGGTGTCATATAGAGTGTTTAGTCCCCAGACTTCTACATACGCTAATATTATGGGAGCCAAGGCTCATGGTTATGGTGCTTTGCCTCGTGTGGAAGAGACGCTTGCGAGCCATCTCTCCCCCGAAGCAGCATCATCTTTTAAGGCACCGGCATTACCCACCAAGCCTTTAAGAAACACTTCGGCTTTGGTGGGTAAAGCATATTCGGCAGCAGGTCAGGCTGCGTCATGTCTGCATACTATGTCAATCTTGCAGGCATACCAGGCTGATCTGCTAAGGGACATGAGTGAGAGTGAGGAGGTCAGTACTGA